AAAGCCGTCATAACTAAGACTGCTGATGCTATCCTCAATCTGTGTGCTGCTGTGCTCACCCGGCTCTGCTCGCATCGCTGCCTGGCAGACCCTCATCCAGCGAGCGATCTGGCTGAAGGCCCTGCCCTCCATTCCGGAACATCTGCAAAGGGAGATGCTGGATGGCCCCATCACCACCGATGTTCCGTTTGGTCCCCACCTTAGGGGCGTCATTGAGAGGGCTCAGAAGACGGCCGAACTATCGGCTACGGTGCGAGACCTGGTCCACCCTCGGTCAGCCTCGCACTCCGGCCGTTCAGCCAGAGGATGGGACGAACGGCGCGGAAGCTTCAGACGTCCAGCTGCACCGCCCGCTCCACGGAGCCGGCCTCCCGCTTCGGCTCCACATCAGCGGGACCAGCGAGATGGCGGACAACGGTTCCGGCGGGGCCAGCAGACGCCGTCTTGGCAGTCCCAGGTGCAGGAGCCTCGCCGAAAGCAGCCACGGAAGTGACTCTTTGGGGGCAATGTGTGTGTTACTGATTGTTCTGATGTTGTTGGTTTTGAAATAAAACCCAAAAAACGTCACTCAAAGAGCACAATCCTACAGTCCTCCGCAGAATCCTCTGCCGAGTTTTCACACATGTTCCCCACACCAAGCACTGCTGCACGCGCACATGTTCCTGCAGGTAGTCATAATACACGGCCAGCCGTAAGGGTGCGCTCCATTTGCGCTCTGGCCCCAGCATCCGGCCAGGCCCAACTCTTCCCGCTCTCCCCACGCCGTTGGGTGGGGCGGGATGTCATGTTGCTGTCTCGACCACGCGCGGCGGCACAGTGCGCGGCTCCATCCGCTAGCACTCTGTCGCCCCAGTGCACAGGCCCGGCTCCCACTCGTCCTTCACTCTCGGACTCCACGCTCCGCGGTGTGGACCAGCCTGTTCCAGCTGTTTCGCACTCGCCCTTTCGAGCGCAGCCCTCCATGGGTCGGCCCCAGTTCTCTGGTACGGGCGACGGCGGTAAGGGCGCATGCACAACCCTCAGACGTTGTTCACGTGACCGCGCACACGCGTCCACTGTCGGAACGCGCGCACGAGTGGCGCCGCCTTTGCATCATGAGCAAATGGATTTCGGACACCATTCATTGCGGTCACACACTTCATTTTCAGGCCACTCCACCTCCCTTCAACGGGATCGTGGAGACGACGTTCACATCGCAAGTACAGTCTCAGGCGCTAGAGCTGGAGCTGCGGGAACTTCTGTCCAAAGACGCTATTTCCCGAGTCCCTCGCGGACAAGAACTCTCGGGTTTCTACTCCCGCTCCTTCGTAGTACCGAAGAAGTCGGGAGGAATGAGGCCTATTCTCGACCTGTCCCTGTTCAACTGCTCCATAGCAGTAATGCATTTCCGCATGTTAACGATGAGACAAGTCCTGGAATATGTGCGCCCCGGGGATTGGCTCACGTCAATCGACCTGAAAGACGCATACTTCCACATACCAGTAGTTCCAAACCACCGGAAGTTTCTGCATTTTTCGTTCAAGGGAGTTCAATATCAGTTCAATCGCCTCCCTTTCGGCTACTCGCTAGCCCCGCGCACCTTCTCCAAATCTCTGGAGACCGCGCTGCAGCCACTGCGCACGGAGGGAATGAGGGTCTTATTTTACCTGGACGATCTTCTCCTGTGCGCTCGGTCCAAGGACGAGGCGTCACAGCAAACCGGGAGGTTGACAGGGCATCTGTCAACCCTAGTAGGGTTTTCTATAAACTGGGAAAAGAGCTCCATCCTTCCATCCCAGTCGATTGTGTATCTCGGGGTGGAGTTGGACGCCTCCCTAATGAGAGCACGTTTGTCGCCTGCAAGAGAGGCAGATCTCTCCACGGTGATCTCCCGTGTTCAACCCCGCAAGATCGTGAGAGCCCGGTTAGTCATGAAACTCCTGGGCATGATGTCCGCAGCCCATTCAGTAGTGCCGCTAGGTTTGCTGCGAACGAGGCGCTTGCAACGCTGGTTCATCCGCCTCCGGGTACACCCGATACGTCAGAAGAGACGTATGTTGAGGATTCCCCCTTCAGTGGGCTGGGACCTCGCTCACTGGGGGAACCCCTGCATCCTCTCACGCGGGGGTTCCCATTGGACGTCCTGCGTCACATGTATCTGTGTTTACGGATGCGTCACTGTCGGGGTGGGGGGGCACGTGCTTGTCCCATACGGTGGCAGATCGCTGGCCCTCCCACACGCACGAGCACATAAATGTGTTGGAGCTTATGACAGTGAGGAATGTGATCAGACACTTCGCTGCCCTTCTAGAGGGCCGTCATGTCGAAGTTCACACAGACAACCGGGTAGCGGCAGCCTACATAAATCGCCAAGGGGGAGTTCGATCCCTCCCACTGTTGCGTGTCGCCACAGATTTACTGTGTTGGACACATGTCCACCTGCTGTCCATCAGAGCCATCTACATTCCGGGGGTACTGAATGTAGCGGCAGACATCCTGTCGAGAGGGGGACCCCGCGACTCCGACTGGCGTCTACATCCTGCACTGATATCACAGATCTGGATCAGGTTCGGGGAACCGTCTGTGGATCTGTTCGCGGCTCGCGAAAACGCTCAGTGTCGCCTGTGGTTTTCCCTGAGTCCCCGGGACGGACCCCCGCTCGGGGCGGACGCCTTCTCACACCAGCCCTGGCCTCGAACGCTCCTTTATGCGTTTCCACCAGTCCCTCTGAATCCCCATCTCCTGGACCGAATTCGGTCGGAACAGCTCTCGGTGATTCTGGTGGTCCCCAGAGGCGTGTCCGCGTCATGGTTTCCGGACCTGCAAGCGCTAGTGTCCGGCTCCCCGTGGATGCTCCCGTGGAGGGCGGACGCCCTTCTCCAGGCGGATGGGATAATCAAACATCCTCCGGAAATAGGCCAACGGCTGTGGGTCTGGCCGCTGAGCGGTCACGCTTAGAGGCTTCTGGGCTGCCGCATGATGTGGTCGCCACGATTCAGAGTGCGCGGGCGCCCTCTACCATTGCGTCTACGCTGCTAAATGGGCAGCTTTCCAGAACTGGTGCGCAGAACGGAATGTTCAAGCGCTCTCCTGCCAGCGGGCGGATGTCCTATCGTTTCTGCAGATACTGATGGACAGGGGCCTCGCATTCAGCACTGTTAAGGCATGCTGCAGCTATCTCATCATGTCATCAGGGTTTTGGAGATAGATCTGTTTTCAATCATCCCCTCACGAAACGTTTTCTAAAAGGTGTCAGGAGGAACAGACCTGTGTCCCTCCCGCTTTTTCCCCAATGGGATCTAACGGTGGTTCTGCGTGGCTTATCTGAAGCTCCATTTGAACCCTTGGACCAGGTCTCACTCAAGTTCCTGTCGCTTAAAACTGCATTGCTGCTGGCGCTAGCATCAGTTAAGAGAGTGAGTGACCTAACCGCCCTCTCAGTGGCTCCCGCATGCCTCAGGATCCGGGAGGATGGCGGGTCTGCTGTTTTATGCCCCAACCCAGCCTTTGTGCCCCAAAGCATTAATGCTTCCTTCAAATCCAGGTCAATTTCATTGGCTGGACTTTTTCCTCCTCCCCATAATTCTGAGGAGGAGGCGGCTTCTCACCTTCTCTGCCCGGTGCGCGCGCTTGCACGATATGTGTCACGCACTTCAGGGGTTCGTCGCTCACAAAACCTGTTTGTGCACTACAGGGAGTCTTCCCTTGGTCAGGCGCTGTCGGCCCAGCGCCTTTCACGCTGGCTGTGTGACGCCATTTCCCTCGCTTACACATCATCAGGGCAGGATCCCCCTGAGGCACTCAGGGCTCACTCAGCCAGGGGGATTTCCTCTTCGATGGCGCTCCTCAGTGGTGTGTCAATGGAAGTCATTTGTCAGGCTGCTTCATGGGCTTCACCCTGTTCCTTTACTCGTTATTATTTACGAGATGTGTCTTCAGGATCCATCACTCGTTCAGTGCTTGGACCCCAGCAGGCTAAATGAATGCTTATGGCACCTCATTGGCCTTGCTGAGATGGATTTCATTCTCTTTTGGATGATGTTTTTAGTGGGGGCCCCTCTCTTATCGTGCCTGCCTCAGTCTTTAAGCCTGGTCTGAGGCTGAACCTCCCTCACTAAAGGAGATTGATTGGGTGTGTCCATTGGTTGTGTTAACCAGTGGGGCGTAAACCCATCCAGCTGCGCTTTATTCCAATAGCAGCTAGCTTAAGGGCTAAGACTAGACGAAATAGAACGTTGGTTACGTATTGTAACCCCAGATTCTATGAGTCTAGTCGCAGCCCTTAAGCCACTGGCCCCACTGGTTATGATGGGAATAAGAGCCATTGGAGGTGAGCAGTGGGGTCACTGCGGTTATATACCACGAGGGGGCCCACTATTGGTGAGCGTACATTTAAGCTCTTCATGATTGGCTGATGCGGAGATCATCCTTCCAATAGCAGCTAGCTTAAGGGCTGCGACTAGACTCATAGAATCTGGGGTTACAATACGTAACCAACGTTTTTCTCCTTTTTGACCAGTTATAAATATTTTTATGAGCAGTTTCATGTCTGACAGGACTGATGAGCTAAAGGCTAGCATGATGTCAGCTTAGACCAAAACAGATTTCTGTCATCTTAAAAAAAAGCTCCAGTTTCCCAAAAATCATAGTTGTACATGCTAATTATATTTTATACACTTTTACACCGTTGTCAATTCACATTATGATTACATTATACTTATTACAATACATTCTTGCTGAACTTGTGTTTTAAGTGTCCTGCTTTGGCTCCACATGATCAGTGTAGAAGCTGCTTTTATTAGGAAGAAAAGAAAATAAAGATCATATTTCGTCAGACTTGTATTTTCCCTTATCTTTGTTTTTGGCAGAGAAATAATGTATTTGTTGGTTTAGATGTTATCACACTTGTGTTTTGGATGAATGCCATCTTTTCTTTTTGTTTGAATGCCACAACAGGATTACAATTCAGGACCTGTTTTTTTGTTCTCGTTTTCTCTTATTTCTCCTTTATTTTGTGACAGAAATCAAATATTCATGGGTTTTCAACGGCCAGAGCAGCTTCCTGCAGCAGGACGCTCGCCGTTTCATCTCTCAGCGGACGGGAAACTTGTACATAGCAAAAGTTGAAGCCTCGGATGCAGGGAATTACACGTGCGCCGTGAGAAACATGATGACCAACGCCTCCGTGTTCAGCTCTCCGACCCCTGTGGTGGTGCGGAGGGATGGTAAGCGTCTCTGCTTGTTTGGAGCACTGAACTGACACAAACATTCGTAGGGAGGAGATAAATCACTCGTCTCCAGCGTGACATTGTTTTTCCCTTTTACTGCTTTGCGAGGCTTTTACACAAGTCAGCAACACGCGGGGTCGTAGATGTGAGAAAACCTCTGTACTGTATCTGCATGAAGGCACATATTTGCATAAATAGAATGCTTGCAGGCTGAGGCACAGCAAGCGGTCTGACACCCATACAAACCTCCACAAGACCGTTTATGTTTGCTTCACACTTCCACCAAAGGAGGTCTGTAATACAGACGTATGCATCGGATAAAACTATCCTTACCATACAGCCTGCTGCCTGTATCACCGTCCTAGCTCCTGTGTTTTAACGTGATTCTCTTTCCTTCCTCTTGTAGTAGTGATGGGTGAATATGAGCCAAAGATCGAGGTTCACTTTCCCGACACACTTCATGTCTCTAAAGGATCCTCCGTGAAGCTGGAATGTTTTGCCTTAGGAAAGTAAGTGCAACACAGACACACACCTCATCTGTGTTTGGGGAGGATTCATGAAGAATCCCCCCGTCCTCTGCTACAGCTGACAAACAGAGCAATGATCCTCACAGACACTGTGACCTTGTGTGGGTTGCTTCTGCAGCCCTGTGCCTTCCATTTCCTGGAGGAGAGCCGATGGAAATCCACTCCCTGGAAAGATTAAGATCAACCACTCCACCGGGGATCTGGAAATTCCGTATTTTCGCCCGGAGGATGCCGGTGTGTACGAGTGTGTCGCCGAGAACAGCAGAGGAAGAAACGTTGCCAGAGGGCAGCTCGTATTCCAGAGTATGTGGGATTTCTTATTTTATTTGTCACAAATCTTATTTAATGATGGAAACTCCACATCTTTTGTTGTTTTCAGGTTGCGTTTGTCACTCGGCGACATGTCTCATGAACCACGGGGTGGATTTGAATGAAACTCGTGTTTCATTGGATGTAGTCACAGTTAATCAAAATGAGCAAACAGTAAAATGAATGTAACTCAGAATTTCAGGTGCTGAGAGCCATCCCCATCACACAAATGCAGCCAAAATGGGTACAACTCCACACATTCTCGATGCTCTTTTAAAACCTTTGAATGAGATGTGACGTTGGTTCTTCCAAGAAATACCATTACTTTTTTCTACAATTGAAGTTTGGAACACATTTTTTAGAAAAGGTAATTCTCTTTGGGACGTAGTCTTCAGCTTAATTTAGTATTTAATCAATTTCAGGCAGGGATGTTTGTTATGAGCTTTTTTTACCAGCATCCGGTAAACTGATATGGTTAAACTCTTGATTTCTGATACCAATATAAACCGATACAATGTATGCGAGGTCCCACTCTAGTAATAATAAAACCTGTTCAGCATCCAGTCGCTATAATAGTCAAGGTTTGAGGACATTGGGCCCGTTTGACTACAGATACAGGGTCATTATCTGGGATTCACTACAAAGTTTCACTCTCCGGACAACAGATTCTCCTCCTGCCCACATTAACATTTCAGGTTTCTCCACACAGCACTTCTTCATGGGCATAAGGAAGAACTTTAACATTCACCCTCTCCATGGTGCCTCGCTCCTGAAGAGAATCCGTGTCTAGATTAGAAAGGTGAAGACTGGGGTTAAAGCTCATTAACCTGCAGCAGCAAATGAAGTCAGAAATAACTTGTCATGCTCAGATTATTAGCACCAAACTCTAAAGCTACCAGCAGTTCTGAATGAAAAAGCTTTTAAAACAGATTTTTTGTTTGAATTCATAATAAAAACGTATTTTTTGTCTTAATTCAAAATAAAACATTAGATAACATTCTGTATGCCTGTTGTTACACGTTACAAGAGCAATCTCAGGGAAAAGAGTAATGTCACAGTGCTTTCTCTTATTTTTATTATATAATTTACACATTTATTTAGAAAGTAACATATTGCTGTTCAAGCCTTGAGGCTGGGCCGCCAGCAGGAAGCTTAAAACATCTGCAAATGGTCCCAGACACGACCCTGGCCCACCATCAGTCAAAGACAATCGTAACATAATTCCACTGTTTTATCACCTGCTGCGGTGGCTCGTATTGAGTCACTAAAGCTTGTCTACAGAGGCGACTCCAGCACAGGACCCATATACCTGAGCACAGGTTTATGGGCCTTTTCTGTCATTATTATATGCCAATAAACAACTAGTTGTACCTATCTCCATGGCAACAAATCTTAGTCCAAGCTCTCCTTTTTTCTGCATGGGAAGACGCTTCTGGGCTGGAATTGTTCAACAAAGCACCTTTAAATAAACAAAGTTGTAGTCGAGGCTAAACAGTTTAAGATACTCGAGAACAATCCCATTTTTTTTTTTTCAGAAAACCGTTCTGACGCTCACGTTGTCCTGAAGGCAGAAATAAAACCGTAATTTTATTTTAGTTTACTCCGGCCCATTGATTTTTGTGTGTGTAAGAAATGTACTTTTATAAATATCATACCTGGATACAGCTTTGCAGATTAAAAAACTAATAGCAACTAATTAATACCTGATATATGTAATTATTTGTTGTCAGTGGTCACATGAGCATCCAGTCTTTGGGCTAAAGCTCTTAGAAAATGTCACAGGCCTGAAGTCTAAGACATGATGTTCACTACTGTCAGGGCCAGATTAACACTTTGTTGTACCCTGGGCAACAATATTCAAGGGCCCCATCATCACGCCCCAAGGATCACTGTAATATGGTCACATACAGAATATTTTACTGTAATATGCAGTAAATATACTCAATACTTGAATGCCTGACATCACGTAACCTGCTCAGGATAACCTTTGACCCACCTCGTGTGGACTGACCAATGAGGAGAGGGTCTTAACTTGAGGCCCTCTCTTCATTGGTCAGTCTGCATGAGACTGACTCTCAACTGACGTTCAAAGTCATAGGCAGCGAAGCGTCTCTGTGCAGCACAAAAGCCCGGGTGGACAGTTTGTTTAATGTAGGGTGATCATATTTCCATTTCCAAACAAGAGGACAGGGGAGCTGTGCCTATGACGTCACACTATGGCAACGCCACACAAACCACGTTGGGACCCATTTTTTGTAAGAACTAAATTAATATCAGATTCTGCCAACAAAAGGGCTCTAAAACAATTCATATGTAAATATTTAGCATATTTATATCAAAATCTCATTTTTCTGCTTTAGTGCTGCAACAAGGTTTTATTAATGATAAATTATTATACCTTTTGTTTTACTACAGCATCGGTAAGCTTCCTGTGCACAGATTATTAAGGGTGCTTGTTTCAGCTGTGAGAATAGACGATAGGATCAATGAAAAACTAAGTTGTCACACACTCCATGGAAACTTTCAGAGAATCCACAAATAGTGGCTTTCAAATGATTTTGTTACTTTTTGCAAGTTTAGAAAAGAAGCAGATGAGACAGCATGTCTGATAATTTAGTTCTTCATCTGATAATATTAGAACATGTCAGTGATGTCTGAGTCTTTTTTACAAACACTGTATAACTAACACTCCTGGAGAGGGTATGAACTACACAGAGGCTTCTGGGGAGCCCAGTTATGGGGTGGGTGGGTGGGGGGGTGGGGGTGGGTGGGGTCATTTTGCCTTGGCCCCCAAAATGTCTTGGAACGGCCCTGGGTGTGTGACTGAGTTTTGAAGGTGATCTGAATTGTATCAGATGTATAAATATTACATGTGTATAGCTTATTGTTTTATACAGGTAAAAACGTGTAGTGGAGATAAATCTACCTACATTTTACTTTTCAACACTTTGTTTAGTTTTCTTGTTTTTATTTAACTATTTTCCTGTCCTGTCTGTCTCTCATCTTCCTGCATCTCCTCTAAACTCTCCAGAAAAAACTGCTGCCTGGATTTTTACTTTTTCACCTCATCAGTTACTTTTCAGCAGATCAAAGGGATCTCCTGACCGCAAAGCGGAGTGCGCCTTTCGTTGCTGCGTCAGTGAGGTGAAATCACCGCAGCACAGGTGATGAGCTGCGCAGTAGCAGAGCGCTTCAGGCACAAATAAGACAGAAAATAGAGAACATGTGCGGACATGAACGATCGTGTGCTAATTATAGTTTTTTGGTTGCGCCACTTTGAGAATGGACCGTGCGCTGGAAGCAGCAGCCTGGAGTGCTGCGCAAGAACGCGCTGTGCCGCTCTCTGTGCTCTCTCCTCAAAAGAGTCCATTAATGATGTAATATAGGTAGAAAACTTGTTTCCGGCTCCCCTGGATGTGTAGGATATCCAGCTCCCCCATAATTTGATCCCTGCTCCTGGATGAAAAGCCGGACATTTTCATCAATACGACCGCGGACCCCCACTCCGGACGCCCGGACAGAGAGTGAAAAGTGGACATGTCCGGGGAAAACCGGACATACGGTCACCCTAATTTAATATAATGCGGGAGATTACAGATACAGTATTTTGCTCGTGCTCTTGCTGCCCTGGGCCCCTTAGAGTTCGTGGGCCCTGGGCAATTGCCCAGTTGCCCATATGGTTAATCCGGCCTTGACTACTGTGCTAAAATCTCAAGTCACTCTTCAGTTCTTCCTGTTTCAATCCTAAGGGGCCAGATTGTATTGTAAACAGTCTTGGTCAGTACTTATCTTCACTTTCTAAAGGTCTTCTGGAGTTCTTTATGCTTTGTGTTAGAAGGTGATGTAGATAATTGACCCAGGCAGCAGACCTTAAAGGCAGAGAGATAAAATAAATGTAAGTTATACACGTCTATGCTGAAATTACAAAGTCAAACTACACACCAGACGCATGGCGGACAAGAGGCGGTTTGAACAGGATGACAGCAACAACAGGACCTGACAGTGAGCGGAGAAACCAGTCAGAGTTTACGTAGGAAGAGTTGATTGCTGAGGCAGAGCAGTTGAGCTGATTGCAAATGAGTAACAGCTGGACAGTAAATATACAGTAGTGATGGGAACAGCTGCTCTTTGAAACACCATACTGGACTATGTGACTGGTGTTAAAGAAGCTGTTGAACACGTTTTATTAGTTACGAGATGGTTGTGGCTCAGACAAGGCTGCTGTTGGTGGGATTGGGCAGTGCAGAGGGCATCAAGTTCGTATAGCCCCTTCTTTCCACCGGACATGAAAGTGTAGCGAAATAACTAGCCACGATCATAGTGGACGAGTTCCTTTCCACCGGTACTCCGGCCGCCAAGAGTATTGTTTTGAACGCGTCTGAGAAGCAAAGAGATATCATTATGTGTCGAGTCTATTTTTTATGCGCTACACTTCCAAAACACGTACGTCAAACTCCGCAGTTTACATCTGGCCAGACAGAAAGTCAGACACGGAATCAGTGTAAAACATCCAGAAACGTTCTAAATAAAAGTCACATGTGGTACGTCAGTTCCTGTGAAACTTCTGTAACCGCTGTAAACAGAACAGAAAATAAACCACAGCCTTTTTGCTTTTTATTGTGTGCACCTCTGAAATCACACGTGGATTTGCAATTTTACTGTGATTTTGTGACCTCACAGGATCAGCTGTGAGGAACGCTTTCACTGCCGTTTTGCGTCAGAATTGCTCCCGGCTGGGAATGGGCGTGTGGGTAAAAGCCACTATTACATTACGAAGGGGTCAGCCTTCACCCTTTTGGGTCCTTAACAACTCCTTATTTTGAACTACTGCCATGTTGAATAATTAACGAGTCTCCGTAGAACTGAGAGGATGTAAGCCAACATTAGCATCAAATTCAGCTAATTCTCCAAAAGAACTGCCTATTACATAATTTGCAGCTGGGTGGGATTTTCCGCTATGGACAAAATTAAAAAATGTTACCAAAAAACACAACGACAGGAAAAAACAAAAACATTTTTCTTGCTCTCCCCTCAGATGTTGAACATCTTCACTGGACCCAGACACTCAAAGATGCTTACATGGCTATCGGCGCTAACCTGCAATGGGAATGTAAAGCTGCGGGTAAGCCGAGACCCACATACCGCTGGTTAAAGAACAGCCAGCCGCTAACAGCAATGGTAAGCCACCGGACAAACTAGCAGTTTAATTTGAATGAAACGGAGAGTACTGGATGTCATTTTGCTGCATGAGTGTTCCCGTGTTATTTTCAGGGGAGAGTTCATGTTGAGGCTGGCCGACTGACCATATCCAAGATCACTTTATCAGACTCAGGAATGTATCAGTGTGTGGCTGAGAATGAATATGGATCTGTTTATGCCAGCGCCGAGCTCAAGGTTGTAGGTAAGTTTTATTTGGGCCCCGTCTACACCCACAGCAGAACCACTGACACGCCGTTTGTTCTGCCAGCGGACCTGAAAACAAATACACTCATGAAATCAAGCTAAACTCCAGCTCTCGTCAGAGCCGTGGCCTTTTCATTTTCATAATCACTTCAAACAGCGGGCCAGTCCGGTGGTAAAATGTAATTTCTGTAATTGCTGGTGATGCACTTGACATTTGCCTGATGCACAGCTGTTGCTCTTCCACAAACCGCAGCAAATGGCCTCAACATGGGTCTCTTCCTCAGCCTCACCACCTGACTTTACCCAGCGGCCCGTGAAAACGTCCACAGTGGTCCAGAGAGGGGGCGAGTCGGCGTTGGAGTGCCGGCCCAACGCCTCCCCCAAAGCCTCGATCTCCTGGTGGAGAGGAGGAAATCTGCTGAAGGACAGTGAGAGGTAGGAGGAGGCCTGCTGCACCAGGGGTGCCACTAGCAATGGTTTCAAAATCACTGTAAAACTTTTTCATGAATCATGAATCTTATTTATCTATCTATCTATCTATCTATCTATCTATCTATCTATCTATCTATCTATCTATCTATCTATCTATCTATCTATCTATCTATCTATCTATCTATCTATCTATCTATCTATCTATCTATCTATCTATCTATCTATCTGTCATCTATCTATCTATCTATCTATCTATCTATCTATCTATCTATCTATCTATCTATCTATCTATCTATCTATCTATCTATCTATCTATCTATCTATCTATCTATCTATCTATCTATCTATCTATCTATCTATCTATCTGTTATCTATCTATCTATCTATCTATCTATCTATCTATCTATCTATCTATCTATCTATCTATCTATCTATCTATCTATCTATTATACTGGCACATCATTTGAACAAGTCAGAATTCTGGGATCATAAAAAGATGCAAATGCCAACAGAACCAGGATCAGTTTATAAAAATATAAATTATTCTATTCAAGGATTAGAAAAGTTGAGATTTATTGTCTCTTCAGTGACATGAATACATTTTTAGTATTTATTGTATAACGTTTGAAAAATGTAACATATCAACATGATACCTATGTATATTGGAAGAATATAAAAATTATATTATTATTAATGCAATAAACAAATAATGTTATAATGTGATATCAGTGTAATTTGAATTAATTGTATGCCAGCTCTATGTTGCCATGCTATCTAAATAAATTATTTTAAACCTAAAATATTTAGAATTTAATCTAAATGCACATTTACCTCATTACTTATGATCAAAACTAAAAAATATATAAAGTTAAATCTTAAAAAACAGAACCCAAAGAGTCGTAGCTCTCTTTGAATTCAGCTTTCACCGGCCGTGAGATGCAACCAGGGCCTGCAGGTTAGATGTCTGTCTGACGTGTTGAGCGGCTCTTAACCCTCTGGAGGCAGGCGTTGCAGATTAGCAACGTTAAAACCTACCTACCTGGTTACTCCACGTACGTATCTCATGAGCATTTTTTAACTCAGACTTACCCCTGAAGGACTTAGTTGTCCGTCCTTTTATCAGAACTTATTTTGTGCCTGAGAGGGTTGAAAGAGCTGTTGTGTCTGTAATCACTCGCAGTGTTGCAGAGAGGCTTTGACCTTGAGGTCAAAAAGAGAAGGTGGTTTCAAAATGCTTTTTCCACCGACTTGGCCGAATCGGAAGTCTGCTGGAAATTGAATTAACCAGCAAGTGATTCCTGTTTTATTAAATCCCATTGTTTATAAATTTGACAAATCCAAATTTGACACGTTTGAGGGCATCACCAAAATTACCTCAGAAGTCACTCCTTCAGACACAAAGATGGTTAACTCTTTGTGTGAATGAGAATGTTTTAAACACATGTGAAGTTGATGTTAAACATTACTAATTATCTTATAATGTGTTTGAGTACTGATAGCTTGTTCAATCAACACATGCTGATCTGGTGTAGTTAAGATCTGAACTGGGTCATTGCAGGAAAGATGTTCATTTTGAATCCATCATAGATTAAAGCACAGATTATTCAACCATTTGATTTAAACATCTTGTTCACTCAACACACTTGATTATTTCAACTCATAAGTTGTAAAGCCACGCAGAAACTTTAAAGAAGTTAAAGTTTATTCAGCGTAAAGCTTCTGCATGAGACCTTGGCCGAGAATGTTATGCCTTCTTGTACGGTAACAAGAACTGGGGCAGAACTTTCGGGTTTGGAGGCCAGGCAGATGATGTGTTTGTGTCTGCAAATGAAACGTTACTTTCTGGCCATTTTGTTGGTGAACATTTGACCGCAGGTATGTTACAATAGAAATCCTTTATTTTATTTTTTTTTACTCCTAAATGAGGAAATAAACATGAAATTGTTTTAAACAAATTGCTTAGCTAACATTCTAATAAAATGCTGTAAAACCTAAATAGCCTTTCTAAATACAAAATGGGTTAAACAATCCCCCACCTAACATCACGTTGGATGGTCAAACCATGGAACTCTGTTAAGTTATGGATCATTTATCAACATACGAAGAAAACAATGAAACATCAGCTGATATGTTACGTCTCTTCAGCCTCTTTTACTTTGGTAGTTCTTCTTCTGTATTACTGCAGTCTAAATATGTGTGCAGTGTACTCTGGAGCTCATTACAGCAATGAATCAAGTAACAGTCCACACCCTGGAGAAGTTTGTTCTGGTGTCATGGGAAGAAGCACATGAAATTTCCTCTGTGTATGAAATGTGCCTTATAAATAAAGCTGCCTTGCCTTGCTTTGCCTAAAGGCTCAGGAGCCCTTTGCAGGTGTTCTGGATTCCTTAGCTGATTAAAGTGCGACACTTTGAGTCTAGAATATTGAACCTTCCCACAATATTAACAGAGATGTCGAATGTGGGGTTTTCTAAGCTGTAAGCCATAATCCTCACAGTTATAACAAATAAAGACGTGAAACATGTGGCTTTGCATTTGCATTTATTAATTTTGCCTTTTAAATTGAACTACGCAAATGAATGAAATTTTGCACCGTGTTCTAATTGTTCGAGTTTCACCTGCAGTCCATCAAAGGGTCAGAACAGAGACTCATGATACAACCACACGGCTAGTGATATCACCATCGTCCTCACGTCTGTAGTTAAGGTCTGGTGTTTTATTTGGTCTTTGATTCTCGTTCCTTTTGTGATGGAGATTTAAGTGCGACTTTTTCACTTTTTTGAGCCGATTTTCCACTCGTGCGAGAATCCACGAGATCGGGGCGAATTTTGCGCCGAGCGGTCGTGTAGTGTACAGGCGGTTAGGAGAGGCGATTAATACTATGTGACCAGCCGCCGATCAGCAATCGTGAGCTCGCACGGACTTCTGGTGTGTTTGATATTTTGCTCGTCCCTCGTGAGGGTATCGCACTGCTGAAGTGGCGCTGCGAGCAGCTGCGACCCAAAAAGTATCAGAACCGCTCACGGCGCATGCGCAATCCTGCATCAACGCCGCTCGCTCGCTATTTCCCTAATGACACACGCTGTTTGTTTTTGTTTCTACACGTTTTTTTACTCACAAAGATTGTCAAGAAAGCGTGTTTGTCGTGTTCATGTCAAATTAAACTGATCACAAAACACAGATTTACTTTCTTTATTTCGTTTTCCTCATCCAACCCCCATAAATCCCTGTGTGTCCTCCTGCAGCACTCCCGAAGGACAACAGGCAAGACAAAAAAGTCTGACGTGTTGAGTAAAAACTGCTATTTTTAGCATTTTTTTAGGGCCGACGTGTTGCTACCAGACGTACAGTGTGAGCAGTCAGATCGCATCCGAGAACTGGGTCGTGCAGTGTGAGCACATGACTCGTGAGGTCTGCCCTGCGAGGCAGTCGTACAGTTTGAGCTGAAGCTGAACGCTGCGAGTGAAAAAGTCACACAGTGTCCGCCCGGCTTTAGCGGTGGAGCTACCTTCTTCCATCTGAAAGATTGATGGATTATTCAGAGCGTTTCATGAAAATGAAAACCAACAGTCTGAAGAAGCTTATTAGTGTGTGAATATAGAACACAGGAACTGTAAAGGTATATTAGGGAAGAACTGTGGTTGTGTGACATTTGTCATTTTTTTATAAATTAGATGGAGGTACAAGTTAATGTGGAACAGTCTCAAAGTGTTTTGCATTTCAGCAGCAATGGAAAGCATGTCCATGAGTAAAACAGCCCAGTTTGTCTCAAGTCGTCTCATTAACTGAGAGATTAGCTTTTCAGTCAGACTCGCTTTCTTTTTTCTTCCCATCTGCAACGTAAGAGGCTGCGAGAACCTCAACATAGATGAAGGCTTTGAGTTAATGTCTGAAATGGGTACCGGGCAATTAGCAGATTCAAAATGTGAAGTTCAACATTTCAATTATGCATTTTCAGAACTGCTCCATCATAAAATTGATAAAATGTTGGTTAAAGATTCTCAGTCACCCAGGACTCAGGGAGAGTAAGACTGCATTTTGATTCATTATATTAGGATTCACAAATGAATTTTAATGAGCTCATTTCTACAAGTGAATTTTAACGTTTTTTTTTTGTTACTTGTAGTATTTGCATACTTTTAGGCTGTGTCCGTGTCATCTGTTTGCTGATTTTAAACATCTTCACACACCTGCTACTGCAGCATAAAACAACATTGCATCTACAACCCACCCTCTCTGAGTGCCCCATGTTTTCACTGTTTGGATTTTAGAGAAGCAAGGACATTTGACGGGTTAAACTTCAGCAATAGACATTTGGTGAAATGTAGAGTTCTTAATTGCAGGTTTGACTACCATCCAGCCATCATCATACATGGCTTAAATAAGCGTCCTCTGTAGAAACAGGATCAGCCTTGGAGAAAAGGTCAGAAGCGCTGTCATCTGCGGGAAGGTCAAAGTACAGCTGCTTCCTCTTCAAAACTGCTGGGTTGGTTTAGCCATGTGATTAGGATGCCTCCTGGAGAAACATCTGGGGCGTTTTCCAGATACATCCTGGTGAGAGGAGACCTCGTTGTCCTGGGAACACCTTGGGATCCCTCAGGAGAAGATGGAGAGTGTCTCTGCAGAGAGAGAGGGATGCCTGGGTTTGCTACATAGATCTGTTACCTTAGCAACTCTAAATGGGTAGATGGGTGGATGGAAAGTTACAAATACGTTATTATTCTGATTTCATTTACTCTCTAAATACAACATATCAGGATTTCTAACTTGCCGTGATTGTTGGGATTCTTATACTATATCCATTATCCTAAATTTGTTTTTAATAAGGAAAGTAGAGGACAGTGTTTTTTCCACTTTTCTTTCATTACAAGAAATTTCATTTTGAGTCCCAGATTTTTGTTTTTGCTGTTTTAAACCAAATAAATCCCATAAGTGAAGTGAAATAAATAAACTTTATGGAGGCTATTTTCTTTTCATTTGGTATTATGGCCTCGTTGCTGCTA